TCAAAAGACATCAAAAGACATCAAAAGACATCAAAAGACATCAAAACTATCACTGGAAGGAGGAGCGACCCGCTCGGCATGTGCAACTTTAATGCATACTCCTTCCCGATGGTCTTCTGGGAATGGATTGGACAGGAGTTTTTTTTGGTTTTTATTTCAACGGTTTTATTGAAAAATCCATCACTGGAAGGAGGAGCGACCCGCTCGGCATGTGCAACTTTAATGCGTACTCCTCCCAGTGATGGTGGCGGATTTGATTTAAAGTGTGCAGTCGGGTTCGTGGGTTCTATGGTTAAACAATCTTATTTTCCGTTCGTCACCTTCTCTATTCTTCCACTTTGTAGTGAAGGGTTCATAGAAAGGTGGCAGTGGATGATGAGGGGGGCGAAAGGAGAAATAAGCATACCCTCATATTAATTGTCATCCTTTTTTATTCCATATTTTTTAAGGCAACAGACGCACCCGCCAACTTCAACCATCAACGACGTGGTTGAAGTTCCCAGCAACAACAGGCAATGACAACACTGGCATAAAAAAACATCAGAGATACTGACATAAAAATCTATGAAAATGAAATAGTGAAGTGCTTGCACAGGTTGAAAAACTGGGGCCTGAGTTTCATGAACATGAAGTAGTGAAGTGCTTGCACAGGATGAAAACCAGGGGCCTGAGTTTCATGAACATGAAATAGCACAAGATGAAAACCCAGGGCCTGAGTTTCATGAGTTCCACTCTGGAATGCCAGAAATGTCACGCACTGGTTTTCATTGGTTGCAGTTTGTACCTCAGCCACCATTTTTATTGAAGGATTTTAGCCCCCACTGGGGGCTAAAAACCCCGGAGCCTGCTTGAAATGCTGCTCCATCGGGGATAACTTGATTCAATGAACAACGTCTGCATACAGAATGCAAAGGAGTTCATGTGTTCTCGGCAAATTTGTGCACCACAGACTTTTGCATCTCAAGTAGCTGATGTTTGATAAATGAGACATTTCGTTTTTGCATCTTCGTAGTGGCTGTTTTCGCGTGAGATTATAGTTCAATCATCATTGACGTGTGGTTAGAGTGAACAGTTCTCGTTTCCTATTGCAAAAATTTTCGCGTATGATTTTGCACTAAATTTGTTATATTTATAGAAGGGGGGGGCAAGGCGTCACAAAAATGTAGCTGTGCGCTTTCATGCGCTTTCATGCAACTTGATATTGCCAAAACTGTTTGGGGCCTACGGCGGTGTAATTGGTGCTCTCCCTCGTGCCAAAAACCGTGCTCTAGATCGTGCTTTTTGGTGCTCTCCTTCGTGCCACAAATCTTGCTCTAGATTGTGCTTTTTTGTGCTCTCCTTCGTGCCAAAATTCGTGCTCTAGATCGTGCTCGCTGTTACAGCTATTAGGTTTGTGTCAATATATAATGTATGTATACGGTATACGTGTATGTATATATATATATATGTCATGTAGAAAAACAGATATACAGTAGATCCCTGTTGTAGTCGGGTTTTGAATCAATATGGTTTTTTTCCCAACCGCAATGTTTTTCCATGCAAGGCTTGAGCCGTGCATACAGCTCATCATAACAACACCAATTAAATTGCAGAACGCCAGGATTGAACCGCCAGTCGCAACTTCCAGATTTACCGTAACGGTTCCAAACAAGAGCGCCATGATAGGTGATGAATCTAATTTCAGCTGCAAACTTACTACAACTCATCGGACTCGTCCACTAATGGTTTGACCCATTCCAGTGATCTGGCCCAATGAGCACTTGGCGGGGCAATGCGGGAGGCGTGGAAGGTGGTTGCAAGATATGATGTATCTTGGGACATGATATGATATATATACATACATACATCTACATCTACATATAGATATAAGCCTATTTAAGACTAATGTCCATTACGACTAATGTCCATCTGGCCAGGGTTCTAATTTTTGTCGACCCTGCCTGGGATGATGGTTCTAATGAAATAATATTGCTATATATATATATGGTTGGCAGGGGCTTAATCCCGCAATCAGTCGCATGTTTTCTTTCGTTTTGGAAGCCTGTTGGTTGACCTCATTATTCTTGTGAGTCCTACTGGAAAGTTGGTTGACATTATGTAAACATATATGAATGTACAATCCTACAGTATATAAATCCTACACTAGGTTGCAAGTTCAGTTGTTCCTGGACCAGGCTTCGGTCTGCGCTCCACTGGCCAGGTTGGACTTCCAAGAAAAGGCGCATTGATGAGGCTGGTCGGCCAAAAACTCACCAGATTAGATCTTCTAAATGAAATGGGTTTGGTAGGACGAGCTTGACATGGGAGATCTACATCGATCCAAACATATCCAAACATGGGTTGCTTGGTGGTTGAGCCATGCCTTCATCTCTGATCCGAACGGTGAATCCAATTCGATCGGTAACATTTTTGGGGGACCGCACCATCCAGACCTGTGGGCTGGAAATTTCATCACAGCCCTTTGGATTGACAGGTGGAGTACGACGAGAATGCCTGGCTCTGAGAATGTCTGGATATGGAAATCATATGGAAATCATAAAGATTCACTGCTGCAACTGCTACAGTACTTCACCCTGATCCATGGGGACCCAAGCTGTGATTGAATCCCCCAAACCTACTCTGGCTGTGGAATGCTTGGGGACAAACCAGTGCACTACTTCTCAGCTACTCGGGACCATTGTACTGGATTGCTCTTGCAAGTCTTATAAGATGGTATGAGGGTATGTCTTGTGGCATTGGAATCACGAGCTAGATCCAGGAATCAACAGAACTTGACATTTCCGTGGCTTATCTCCCCAAGCCTGTTGCCTCTATCATCTTCTATCCTCATTTTGTTCTGTCATATCATATATCACATGCTGTATCAGATATTGTATATCATATCAATAATATTGTCCCATACTGTCCCAATCCCCCATGGCGAATCTCACCATTTCACGCTGTAGCTTTGTCATGAGTCCCTACCACTTCCCTAGGGCTTAACTTGGGATTCGGAGGAGGCGCAGGCAACTGCTCGGGGGCCAACAAAAGCACGCGGGCGGGACAAAATGCCCATTTCCGGTTGAATTTGGGGTATCCAAGTTGAGAAACTAGAACATGTGTTCAGAAAGAGACCGATCAACAACCATTTTAAAAGGTGTGCCTGTGTGCCTTCAAAAAGCAAGCATAACACCTGCGACAGATTCCCGTGTTTTCTGGTCAGAATAATTGTACATTCCTATCTGTGATTTCTTTGGCATGAAATGCCCATGCTTCTTGTTGCATTTTCAGTGGTCGTTTCATCAGTTTCATCAGTTTCAGCCGTTGTTTCATGGGTTGTTTTTCAATGTTTCCATCCCTTTATATCCCTTTGGGATGACGCACCCCAGTGGCTCAATCCGTCTCAATCCCCTGGACCACAGGAAGCGCAAGCAGTCGTCGACTTGGATGTGGCCTTTCGTCAACTCAGCCGTAGCCAGGCTGGACCCAGGGTTGTTATATGTTGTTACTGTATATGATATGTTGTTATCATATGTTATCATGATATCCTCGACCTGATCAGGTGCCCTTTCTTGATGCAGCTGAAATTTCTCTGGCTCGAAATGGACTCATAGACATAGTCATATGTAGTCGTAGACCTCCAGATCACCAAAAACGAACCGAAACTGTGGTTCCCTTTTGCTTTTGCCCCTCCAATTCATAAGTGAGGTTGTCTAGGGTGTATTCATGCATGATTTTTCGGACGATGTCCTGGCCCCAAGAACTCCAAGAAAACCCCAGAGGTCTCACTACTTCAGCATGTATACTTTAGACGAGGATCATGACCACAGTTTATAAAAATCAGTTGTTGACACCAGCAATCCTCGTTATTTATGTGAGTTTTATGGTTATATAATAGGCTATGTATGCTTTATGGCTATGTATCATCTATATATCATGATATCACCATCTTTGTTGCTTTCAAATCCCACCAGGACTGTGGCCCCGAACACCAGCTGTTGCAGAAGTTGCGGAAGGTCCGTGTCTTTGTCATCAAAAAAAGTTATTGTCTAATGTTTTTTAAATGGACTCCAATGGTTGATATGTCTGAATGTATGGGTTAATTGTTGTTCCCATACAATATCCATTTAAGTTGGAAGATGTTCCCATTCCTTTTGAAACTTGTTCTGATGGCTTATCATACTCGATGGGAATCATGCCATTTTATACACAGGATACCACAGGTTGATAGGGGACCATGACGAGCAGCTATAAGTGGCCTATCTTAAAAGTGAGTGCTAATCGAACCCATCATATTCATCTTCAAGACTTTCCGCTGTTTTGAGGACTGAAGTCATGTTTTCGTTTACTTACGATCAGTGGAATATATCTTCCATTCAAGGATGGAAATATGTGGCATATCCAGTCCGTCTGCAGCTTGGGGCTCAGAAAGCCAGAGGTCAGAAATGATGCAACAGTGATGCAACATGTGAAAGAAGATGTGCATTGGAGCTTTCAGTGTATCAGTAGAAGATCGGCGCCTTATTTAGGAGAAGTAAGCTTCAGAGTGGATCCAGGTGGGTTGAAATGTCATAAACAGAGTTCATGATGAACATTGATGAACATTACATAACATTACTAATAATCATTACTAAGGCCTCTGCCAGTTTTTGCAACATATTGCAACATGTTTCAATCTGACATGATATCCATTGACATCCCAAACCCGCTGTGGTCTCACAAGGAGCAGGTTCTCAGAAACCTGGCCACGCCCCAGGAAGAAATTATTTTGGTTGAGACAGTTGAGGCATGTTAACACTGTTAACACCAACACCCATCCATGTGGAGTGAGAATCCAGTAGAGATTCCAATGGTGAAAGATTCATTGCTGATGGATACTCACATTTTTTTCTGAGTCCATCCGCCACAAGATGCTGAAAAATAGCAAAGCAGAACAAAGCATACAAAACACATACAAAACATAACAAAGCACAACAGAGCAGAAGAAAGCACAGCACAAGATACATCCATCATTGATCATTTTGCAGCTAGGACCTGAATTTCATCGGTCCAGCCACAGCTACAATGGCGAGATCGCGTTCCCGCTCTCCACGAAGTAATCTGCAGATTGCTGATCAGAAGATCGTTTTCATAGGCGTCGAGCCACGGAAAACCAATGGGTATCAATGGGTACAGGCCAAAGAAAAGGCCAGAATCATTTGCTTTGTTCAATTTTGTTCGTGTGTTAGTTAGATGTGGTTTTGATGTTCAAACCTCCCTCTTGGGATGGGCCCAGGCAACCAGAAACCTTGTCTTGAAAGTTGGTGAAGAATATGGGGGATTCAAAAATCTCTGTTCAAAGCTAAGTGCGCAAAAACCCAGGAACTGGTAGACGAACAGTCCCAACTGTACTGTTCTGAACGTTCCGGGACATGTGCTATGCACTGTATCAGGAAAATTATTGCAATACGGGTGCCTCAATCATTGGGTTTTTCAAGATGAAGGACTAAATCGATTCAGCACCTTTAAGACCGCATCCTGTTTGTACATCATCTCTCATTTGTTGATTGCATCTCTCTTGATATATTATATGATGGTTGTTTTTCAGCAGTTCTATCTCACCTTCGTCGATTCTATCCTCGATTTTGTTCACTCGTTGTCGAATATGTTGGGGGATCAACATCCATGACAACAGTACCAACTATTTTGATGCAACAATTCCTCGTGGATGTAAGCCCTATTTTGAATCGGACAATAAGCAGACAAAGCTATTTGAATATATCTAATATATATATATATGTATATATATATATTCAATGTATCAATATAGATAGATATATATATATATATAATGTACCAATATATATATATGTAGTATTGATATATAAAGTTTTATATATGAATATGCAATTCAGATATTTTCAAATGGCATGTTTCTTGTGTGGACCCCCACGTCCTGTCACTAGGCACCTCGACCAGATTTGATCTTGGACAGAAGTACTGCGGAGTCAACAACGGCCGGGCACCGAAGCCGCTGGCATCCGCTGGCTGCTGGTGGTGACTATGGTAATTAGATGTAATTGGTATTGGGGACATCAACAAGTAATGAGCACAGATGGGAATCAATCAATCAATCAATCAATCAATCAAATCAATCAAATCAATCAATTCAAATCAATCAATTCAAATCAATCAATTCAAATCAATCAATCAATCAATCAATCAATCAGTCAGTCAGTCAGTCAATCAATCAACGACCCAAAAAAGATTCTTGGGAATGTAGTTGAACCATGTGATACATGCCTCGCAGACCGATGATAAGTGGTACGAGGTGGTAGGGCCCTACTTTAGAGAAGGGGAACTGTGGAGATCCGGATTGCCGAGGCCTTTTCAAGTGCAAAGAACGCGTCAAAGAACTTGGAGGCGTGCCCCTTTCGGGGCAGGGAGCAAGTGACTGATGCATAGTCTTGCAACTGGCTAAGTGGTCACTCACAGTTAACATATGTTAACATGTATTTTGTCAAAACTGGCTTCTAATTGATCATTTGTCAACAAAATGGGATGCAGCGAATGAGAACCAGAAACTGGGATGGTATGTCTATGTCAAGTCGGTTCTGTTTATAGTGACGGGCGTGGTTTGCCAGAAGGCAAAACTCGAAAGAGACAGTTCCGGTCCATGGCAGTGTCCTGGTCATGTTACAAACATCCACATTATTGGGGCCCAAGCATTCATCGATATTCTGTGAAACGTGTTTCACTTTTTCGTGTTTCACGTTCTACTGAGGTGAGGTTGTAGGCACTGTGGCGTCGGGGCGAAAGATCATTCCCAAGGATGAGATGCTTGGTGAATGATGGTTTGGTACCGAAGTTGACGGCCAAAACATGCCGCTGCAATTCAATTCGACAATTCTTGACACACCTTTCTGGAAGGTTTACCAAGCCCATGTTGGAAGGTTTGTACCTTTGAATATCTCTGAAATCATTTGTGTTTCTCTGCATTGTTGGATCCCACTTTTTCTCACTGTCGCCTGAATCTCGTCATTTCCAGTCCTTAATTCCTGGAATCTTCATGGCGTTGACATGCCGCCCAAGGAAGATTATTGAGCGGGCCGATTTGGTCGTCAAGTGCCATGTCAGCTATGTTTGATCGCGAACTAAACGGGGTGATGGGGAGCTTGTGCAGTTGGGAATGACAAGAAACTATATGGGATATATTTTACACGCGTATGACAGTATTATGTTGATGAATTAGTAATTAGTATAGCGTTTGTGATGTTATCAATGTGTATACTAGAATATATTACATATGCATATCATTCATATATGTATATATAAACGCGTGTGCCGGGTAAAGATCTGTAGTCATGGCGACGGTCATGTGTGAAAAGAATGATGAATTTGTTGTCGGTGAGGATGAGCAATTATGCTGACGTGGATCTACAGAAGGCGGGGTGGATGGGTAGCTTCGCAACAGTCATTTCAACAAAGTGCTGTTTCATGGACGATATCAACTTGGATCAAAATTATTCAGACGGGGAAAAACAAATATAATATAGAAGTGATGAGCGAACAAGTACTTCTGGTATTTCCCGGTGGTTCGAAAGGATGTGAACCTGCACAAATAGACACACACACACGCAACCGCAAATCATGCAATGCAACAACCTCAGCAACCAGTGGAACTACCATTTTTTTACTTTTTGTTTTGTTGAAAAACACATCATAGCATGCCGACTCTTCCCACTGGGAAGCTCGTTATTTCTCTATGAGAATCAGTTGAATCTGATTTGTGTTCTGTCCTATGCCATAGTGGTAATTTCCCCCACCAGAAATTATATCATGGTTTCTTGATGTTTCTTGATGTTTCCTCAGCGCCGACTTCCCTTTCTGCAATCTCAGGCCGAAGCGGAACAAAAGAAAGTGGTCGACCAGGCTCTCATGCACCAAACTCTCTGGGCACCCCGAAACCGTTCATGATGCGTCAGAGCATGGCCTAACATGATAAAGAGAGGCAAATAGGCATTGTTTTAAGCTAGAATCATGTCTCTTTCAATGGCCCATTGATCTGTACTTAGATCATCCTAGATCTAAGATGTGCTGGTACTAGATTTGCGCGTTTCTTGAAATTGCCTGGAATCCTCTCCATCCATCAACATATCCCATCATGTTGGCTTCTTGATGGCCACCTTTCCCACCGTTCCTGATCTTCCTATGGCAGGAGGCATTTCTGGCGGCACTCTTTGAGACCACCGTGTTGAGACTGTGAAGGCTGGTGGTGCCGGAGGTTGAAGCCATGAAAAGAACCAAAAGAATTGGGTTGGTAAATGCTATCGTTTCGAGTGTAAGTGACCTTTTTTGAGGTTTGGGCGTATTTTTTTTGGTGTGTACCTTTGATGATTGAAGCCTCACAAAGTTTGGCCACTTCAAGATGGAAGTGACGACCTCAGAATTTGTTTTTAATCACGAAAGTTCTGAGGAAGTGCATGCGTTAGATCTTAGCTCCCAAAGTGAAAGGGCTGGCAGCTGATCCATCATTGAATGAACGTCTTTGCCGCGGTTAACCTCTCTCAACTTGATTTGTCATCAGTTATAAAAGGGATTGAATTACGAACCAGCAAACTATGAGCATGTCTGAAAGTTGCATATCTTGTATCCACTTCAGGGACCAAGATGACCGCAATGAGAGATCGCCAGGCTCAGCGAAAAAATGGCTGCCGATCCCGGGAAAAAAGACCTTTGCCGCAGCCGAAATTGGAGGGACAGCGGTGGCTGTCATAGTGGGATTTTGTAGAATGTGAAAAGCTAGAAGCAAACACAAGGTCACATCTACTTGGAAGTACAGTTAGACACACTGCTATAGATTGTATATGATTATCAGGGCAATACCCATGAGGTGCTTCTAGTCTGGCACTCGGAATTTTATCCATGGCACTCGTAACCGGAGTATGCCCGACCTTTCACAGTTCTTGTGCTGGTCCCCAACATTGGTTACCATCCCCATAGATCCCCATAGTGCTATCATTAATTGTTCCCCATGTTAATTGGAACACCTGATCTAAGGATCTAAGGGATAAAACATGATCAACCCCATTTTCCCAGCAATTTTCGGGAAAGCTAAAAGCTATGATACCTATTATACCTATGCCAGCTATTTGGACCCACAGCCCTGTGTTCACCAGGAGTTACCAGGTGTCTTCGGACATCCTGGTGGCTTCATCTTGGAACCCTTTGGTTCCTTCGGTTGCTTGTCGAGTTTGGTGGCTCCGAAAAAATGGGATAAACAGATGATCATCCCAATTGGTATTTCTTGGAAGGGACGGATTGAAAGTTACCAATTTAGTGGTCTCAAAATCTGTTGCTCTTTGAGGATCGAACCCGCAAAATGGTGAACTTTATCAGGAATCGATGAACGCTCGCTCTTACAAAACATGTTGGAACCGTGCAAACGAACCACCTGCAAAAGAATGAACATATAGCAACTTTCCGCATCCTCAAATCAACCATCAAAATTGTGTTTTGCTGATCCCGGGTCCAAAACAAGTTTGACCCAACATGTGGTTTTCTTTGTCATATCACTTGTATCCCTGTGCTAGGTATAACATGTTATAACCTCCCATGCGTTCGCCGCTGAGTTACAGAGTTGGGTTTGCCCCGCGAATCCGGGCGTTCGGATTTGGACTTGGCAGGGAACCCAGCGATGACCATCCCTGACTAAAACCATGAACAGCCAAAAATAACCGCGCCAACATTCAACATTGTGAAATATCGTAAAATATTGGAAAGACTAATGACATTAATGATAGTAATGACCTTTTAGCCTTGGCATCAGCAGTTTAAGTACCCAAAGTTGAGCTCACACCAACCATTTAAGACGTTCAAGTCAGGGTTCTCCCATTCTCCCCCTTGAGATGCTTGGAATGAGACCGCTGCAGGTCATCTTGTTTCACAACTACAAGGCCGATAGCAAAGAGGTGAAGCCAACCCCCATCTGCCGTTGACATGTTTGATGTGGTTTCATTTGATTTCGTGTTGGGTCTATGCTATGCAACGGCTACGAACTTGGTTCGGTCCCTCCAATCCTTCGTCAAATTTGTGGTAACCAGTGCACAGGCGGAAATCCCGGAAGACATTGTGATGTCTATCTCTCAAATGTCAATTGAACTCCTTCTCTTTTTGGCAAGTATTTTGGCAAATGACGAAACGCCACAAATAACAAACGACGCTAATCTTATAGTCTCTAGGGATTCATCAGGTTTGGTAGATTTGGATGGGCACGTGACTCATTTGTAAAGCAGTTGCAAGGGGATCACCCCATTTAGAGGACTTATTCTAGCTGTGGACTTCCTATGTGGAATGTTAACCCAGACGAACGTCAAAGTTGCCGCCGCACCGTTTCCTGCCAGAAGGGTTGGAGCGTTGGGACGGAGCGCCATCTAGCATGTGTCAGAGCAGAAGCATCCTGAACAGTCATAGGTTTGGTATTTCTGAAGTTTGAAATCTAGTAACTAGTCAAACTAGTCCTTTGTGACAGTTGTTGGTTTGACTGCGGGGGGGAAACGAAACAAATGATATGTGCACTGTACAATATTGGTGAAGTGTTTCCGTGTGCGTTGAGTGAAAACCATGACCTTGCTTACAACATCTTACAACATCTTACAACATCTTACAACATCTTACAAATACTATCCAGATCCCACAGTCTGACTTTCTGAGACAACGCTGCCCCGTGGCTGATGGACTGCTCTCCTGTCACCAGCTTCACAACTTGAGGTACGGGATATAAGTGCTGTTTCCCCACAACTTGGTCTTGACATTCCACCTATCCCACTCAATCATTCATATGGAAAAGAGGTGTGGCGTTGGGATGCTTTGTGTGACCGATAGTTTCCAGAAAGCGATTTATGCCAGCTCAAGTTCTCCTGATTTGTTAGTGATGCAAAGTGACAGTCAAGATCATTTAACACCATAATATCTATATATCATATACACCTATGTATATTTATGTATAACCACATATAACCACATATAACTGCAGATGACCATAGATACCCATACAACAAAGCGTAGGTAACTATAGAATACTATAGATAAGCGTAGATGACATTAGAGAACCATAGACCATAGATGCCATAGATATCAACATATTATAACAATCAGATGTTTGTTGATTTTTCCCCATTTCGATTGCCTCACAATCTTCTCCATCAGGTGATGCCGCTTGAGAGCCGGGCCGTTGAAGGTTCGTAATTTTGGAAAAGACTCTGATTCCTTTCTGATATTCATGTGTGTTGATTTATGTTCCTTTATGATCACTTGCACCTGTATCATGTACCACAATATCATAATACAACGGTGATGATCATTTCATACACATTTTCCATCACAAATGCTGTAGATGTTTGTATAACAACTTCAATTCATCCCAATATGTCTATGTATTTCCATGATTTTCCAGATATTTCCATCATTTAGTCAGTTTAGTCTCTGCCTAAGATCCGAGTCATCCGCCGTTTTTGATCCGAGTTCTCCGGTGATCCCGAACTCGGATCTGCCCAGGTTCCCCGAGGCTTCCGTTGAAGCTGGACCGGAATGGAATTAAAAACGGGTGGCTCAGTGGATCCGAAAGCCACAAGAATTTTCTGGCATCGACTGGGTCTGTAAAAATGGGGCAACAGAATGAAGGCATCATTATGATCATTAAAAAAGGGCAGAATTATGGGTAAACATCGGGAATTATACTGAGAGATCATCACCAAGAGTAGCGATATATGGCCCACAATCGATGGGCAGCGCAATAAAACGTGGATGTGACCAACACGCGTGCCGGGAAACAGTTGTGATCTTTATTTTTGACGCTTGGTCCAAAGTACCCAAGTGAGGTTGGTTCTAGCAGTATTTTCCTACATACTATAACTATAGACTATATATATAATATATATATATATTCTTTAGGGAAGCGTCAACATAAGCGTCAACATAAGCGTCAACATATGTGATGCTTACATTGTGACTATGCCAAGAATCTGTGAAACTCTTGGCACGGGCACAGGAGTGCTTGCTGGGCCGTGGCGCTGCAGGCGAAGTGTGGAAGGCCCGATGCCATGAAGCCATGCGGAGCCCATGATTTTGCACCAATTGGGAGTCCAAAATTGTATGATTTTTGCATGTAGATAAATAAATATACGTCTATAATATTATATAATTATGATTATATATAATATGTATATAATTATGTGTTTAATTTATCTTTAATATGATCTATATTGTACTGGTAAAGATCACCAGTCAAGCGGTGCCTTGGGACCATTTGGGACCCAAATGGACATGTGGGGAAACTCGCAGCGTTACCTGTGACAGGGGTGGGCCGGCACTGTTTTTCGATGCTTTTCTGCTACAGTAGTTGTTACCCTGTTGGCACTAGCTGGTAACCAATGTCTCATACCAGGTTCTACAAATCTACTGTATAGACGTGCCAAAGAGGCCAAAGCCACGTAGCTGTACGTGTATGTATATATATATACATATGTATACATATTATGGGGGGTGGCATTCAATGAAAAACAGCAGGAAAAGAATGTCTATCTCTTTGAGGCCCTTGGTGTTGAATTGCTGAAAACATACAAACACAAGAAGTGATGATATTTGACGAATTCCGCAAACACTAAGCATGACTGTATCACTCATGACTTTTCTGGGATATTGGGGGACTATTCCTAACTGCGTACTTTTTGAATAAATTCCTCCATCTCTGGTGGGTGGTAGATTTGCAGATATTTGGAAGTTGACCCCCTGTCAGAATGAAGGGAAATCTGCTGACCGGGCTCAACAGTGTTCCAGTTAGTTCAACTTCTGGGCGGCACCGCAAAACGCCGGCGACATCATGAGGACGACGCTTTGACAGGATGGATGGTGGGAAACCAGCAAACTAAAGACCACCACAGTGGGTTGTAGGTTTGACAACATATTTTTTTTTGATGTAACCATTTGAGTTGGTTTGCCCAGCAGGCGTTGGATCCCAGCATGTTGCTGTATATCACATAGAGGTTGAGGTTGGTGATAGACAACTTGAGCTTAATGAGTCAGTCAGAACGCAGATTCTTTTGTGGTAAACAAGTAGCAAACCAAAGAGACTGCAATGCTAACCCAGGATTCATCAACCTCTTACTCATGTGTGGGGTACCAATACCATGATACCATGTATAATTTTGACATGTTGGAAATATTGTTATTTTGGAGACCCACCCTCTACATGGGCTTCATCCTCAAGTGTCAGGAGAGCCTCTTGGGCTTGGCTACCGTAGCTTGGCAACTCTTTCAGCGGATGGTATCCCAAGGATTCCCAGGGTAATGCGAGAATTGGAATGGTTGAGACGTTCTAGTCTAACGAGTCTAACTCATTTCAAGGCCATCGCAATTTCATTGTTTTGAGCCTGTCCCTTGACGTGGCAGGATGATCCCGCAAGTGATGAATGTTTGAGAGGGATGATGTCGTTTATTTTCCCATGGTGACTTACCACCTAAGAAATCTAAGATGGAAGGTCAGAAGTTGGGTCGAGATGTCAGTGGTTGAAAAATATTGCCAGTCGATCTCCGCCTCAAAGATCTATATGTTTTTGTTGCAATGGAGACAGCTCATTCCCTTCGGGACTTGTTGGGGTGCTGAGGTGTTTTTGGGCCTTGACTCGCAACCCCTTCTCAATCGTGGGATTCAGACTAAAGCGAGTTTTAAGCAGATGCTTTCATGCATCGCTAGATTTTGAATTCAATATCTATAACTAGGATTAATTAATTGGGTATTCACATCCCATCCAGATTTGTTATTGCTTCTATTAACTATTATATAGAATATTGGACGTGGCACCAGGGTTCCAACTGACGACCCTGTTTTGAACCAGCCATTAAAGAGTGACAAGGGCTGGAAAGCTTTGCTACGACCCAAGGCTTCTGGCTTTCTATCTTCCTGTCCGAAACCTCAGAGGGGCGGGCCATGGTGCTCCAGCTCGTAGTGGTGTCTGAATGGTGATTTCAAAAGGATCATGGCACATATGGAACTATGAAATGGATTGAATTGATGAATGGTTGATATGGTTGAATTGTGGTTAAACATGGTTAACTTGTATTAAAGTGTTAACCATTTTTTCCAATACATGTTGGAAAAAACGACGTTGTCCAACCATCACAGCATGTTCCTCAAGATCCAACTTTGGTCGTCTCATGTCAGCACTTTCCAGGGTGTGAGGCATCCCACCAAGCCGTTGAGAGATGTTGAGAGAGTAATAAGATGTGACAAGGCAATGTTTTTAGTGATATCAAGTGATATCTATGACGATCAAGACAGAGAAGACAAAGAAGACAGATTATTCATGATTATGCCCAATGAATCCTGAGACCAGTAAATTGTATATCTATCATTATCTATCCACGTCTCCAAAAGTGGGGATGATTAATTCATAACCCGTTGATTCATAATCCTCTAGGTCCCCCATTTCATAGACTTACAGAATCTTATAGACCTTCCACCAGGTATCGATTCATTCTCCAAGCTCCCCAACGCAACCATACAACGTTCAAAGCCCTGATATCCCACTGAACAATGCATTTTCGAAGTGCCAGGTTCATGTTGAGAACCGATAATTGGGAATTGTTGATATCCCACTATCCCTTTCAAAACGTCTTAACAAAACAGCATAAACCGTGATATATCCATCACCCCCACTTCTGCCAGGTGGCTTTCCTGACAGGGCGCTGGCATGTGGAGCGCCTGTCGCCTAAAACGCGACGGGGCGCCAAAGCAGCGTATCCAGAGCTGTGCCTTGGCAGATTGATCATTAACATTCCATTATATCGGATATGATCACTAACGATTTATTGTTTAACATTTTTGGGGATATTTTGGGTATTTGCGGTTTTAGAATCCGTTACAGTATCAATTGATGCTTTGGTACAGTATTGTCTAAGAAATGATACCCGTTATTAATCCATTATAACAACAGGCGATTCTGTGTATTATCGATTTAAACCATGGAGATTTTATCAACAATGATGGGTACATGGGACAGTATACAATCCAGATCAATGAGATCTATGGATGAGGTGCATAAAGGTGCATAAAGGGGAGTCCATGTCACAACCAGATATGGGGGCCTTGTCTCCGAGGGGATGATCATTGAGGCTTCCACTGGCCGAATAGTCGGCTGCAAACACGTCAATTTTATTAATATACAAACATATTATACAAACATGCAAACTCCGGAGTTTCTATGAGTTTTCCTGATTTCTGAACCGAACCAATCCAGGAGCAATTTGGAAGATCGCATCTATGAAAGTTGCGTGGTGAAGGACCTGGCCGGGACGAGGATGACGAGGATTTGAGGACATGACATGTGTATGACCTTTCCATTCCTCATTGCAATGCATTGCGATGATTTGAATCACAATAGAGAATCCACCAACCCGGGATTTTCCAGAGCTGCCAGTAGAAGTGAAGATTGTGTGGTTGCATGCTTTCAAATATCTTGTAGGAATATTACACCTGAAGCTTCGTTCATGGCATTTGCACGACACACTTGCGAAAAGCGGCACAACGTTTTCCTCATCGATGTACTTCAACAGGTGGATGCCGGAAATCATTCTTGCAAATTTCAACTATCGATGAGGATGTGCATATGGTGCAACTTGCTATATGTTGAATAGTATGGAAAAGATTGACCACAATTTTGTGGTCCCCAATCCTAGGAACTTTGTTTTGAAGCCAACATTATCTCAAGATTTTGCTGAGATTCTGCAATGTGCAGTTTGGCACCTCAAGCACAACTTGTTTTGCTCCTCAGATTTCCGGTCAAGTTGATCGCCTTTCAATGGGAGTTGCGAGGATTTAGATGAGGAGATGGATTGCATGGACGTACCACACTGAGCAACGAAGTGTGACAGCGTTCAGACGGTGGATGTTCACTTTGTGACGAACTGACAGTGGTTCAGATGCACTATGGCCATCTATGGCCATCCGCGCATGGAACTGAATGGAACTGATAAGTTTTCATTCAACACACAATTGGATGTCATTGAAAATCTTTGGAACATTTTGGCCTGTGATGGGCCGAAGTTGTTGGGATTCGCAAAGCTGGAACCTGAAAATCAACCGACCCATGACCCATCATGACCCATCATGACTCATCATTGGATATTTAAATCTCATCAGTGCCTGGTCAAACTGTTCATTTTGTTGTTGATACTCACTGCATCTCAGCATTGGTTAGTCAAACCATACTGAATGCGCATCGTATTGGTATTTTTGTTGGTCTCTATACCGATACCCATCATTGTTTGGTTGCGTAAGCGTGCGTATCATGGCTCTTCGGTTGCATTTTCATGACTCAACATTCGTCGCCATTCGGGACCTCAACACCTGAGGTTTACAGCAATCTGGTGGAAGCTCATTTCCAGGCACAGCAACCCTGGGAATTGGCCAGATTCCAATTTTCGGAAGGGAGTGGATCGATTCACAAACAATGGAAATAACAGAAAATCACTAAAAAGATGAATCTATAGTTTGCCCCTCCAAGCTAAAGATGAAGGTGGTCAGTCCATGTCAGTCCCAGCTTCCCCAACAACCGTCTTTGGAATATATATATATATATTAATATATACACATATCCGTTAACACATAGATTCACAAAATTGGATAATTTTTATGTTAAAACAATCCTGAACACATGATCCACCATCATTGAGACCTTGATGGGACCATCAGGCCACAGGTTTGCTGCTTGTTTGCCGCCAGGCACAGAAGGAATGTGACGTTGGAATTCTCAGATGGCTGTGCTGATTTTCCTAATTGGACATTCCAGTTTATCAATTTTGAAGATTAAGCACCCAAGATTTGCTCAATGTGCAGATTTTTTGAATATCCTTGTGGTTGCCAGTCGAGAAAAGGTCTCCGAATTCTGCTGCAACTGCTACACCCAACCTTCGGACGTCAACCGGCATCCTTTTTCGGCACCTTCAAAAAGTTTCTGGCTTCCAACGATGAAATTATATTGCGTGGGGTTCCATATTTCGAGAAGACAGATGGTCGGCCCATTTCTTGTTCAAGTGTCCTGATCTTAGAGAAACCTTAGATTCCTGTGAATCATCTCTCCCAGTTCAGCTCAAGAACTAAGCAGATTTTGAGCCCACATCCAGTGACTCACAAGGCCGATAGTTCCAAATGCGCGTTGCTGAGAGTGTCGGGGTACCTGGCGGTTCAGAGCCCAAAGCTTGTACCCATCAAGTCCAAACGCGGGAAGTTTGTACAAACAGACCTAAGAAAGACAGGTTTCTTACCAGCAAAAATGAAGAACATATGAAGTCATATGAACAAAAATAGGGCTTACTGGAACGGAATGGCAATATTATGTCATAAATGTAATATTATCAGATCAGGACTGTAGAGATGACAACCAAGAATTGGTCATCCAAGTTCTGGGATGCTTCAAAAATTCACCATTTCTGGCACAAGAGACCTTGGAAGCTGGCCAAGAGGTGATGCTTTTGTCCGGAAAATGAAAACAGGTTTATTTTGTTGATTCACAGTATATATATATATACTATAGTATAGTATGATAAAGATTGATATAGTATATTCACAAGTTGATTACTTAGCTAAATTTGTTTTTGTTGTTAAGCAACCCATTTTGGCCAAATCTCCATTTTGTCATGTTGAAACAGTCCCAATGAACGCAGCCTGCGACGAGGTTGGACCGTTTGGCATGGGGCACCAAGGGCACTGATGGGCTGCAGCTCCTGCAACAGCTGCGGCAGTCGGTTGAGGCTCAACTGGGGAGGTAGATGGGGTGCCTAGACCGACGTGATAAAATTCAATGGGAATCTTGTCGGACGTTGACCAACCCTCAGCTAGTACGGGTCAAGGCTGGGTAAATATGAGCAATTAAATTAAATAGAAGGTAGTATATCCGGCATATTCCCCTAGAGGATGGTTTGATCATGTTTGATCGCTTGTTTGTTCAAACAAGTAGCTTTTCCATTCCCCCCTGGGATGATCGGGATCCCAATTGCTGTGATGTCTCTGTCTTCAGTTCACATGTTTGTTGCTTCACCCATTTTTTGGGCGAAGTTCGCTTAAACCCCATTTTTTGGTGAATCGAAAACCACAGATCTTGATCATTTCTGGCTTTAAGCATTCCATTTTTGGCAGACACAATTTACTGCCTATATCAATCTGTTGAGCTTATTATCCAGGCCATCTACCAGATGCATCAGAGCCATTGGGTCGACGCGGTTGAATCCCTGGACACAGACCATGATGGGGAGATCTCAGAGGTCGCAAACGGTTGGGAGTTCTGGGGTGCAGTTGGATGTTGGCCCAAGAATCTGAAGAAGAAGACATATTGAATGGATTGTGTAATAAATATTGGTTTTAAAATGTTTTAATTTTGATGATGATTGTTATCGATCAGCATTATTTATTCCTGTTGAAATTATCATAATTATCAATCTGTTGAGTTTCACTGGTGTTCTTGCTATGTTGAATATATTCATCTACTTTCACAGTGCATTCACATGACATTGGTGACTGGCACGTGCTTCCAAGTACACTTTGAATAGAGCGGAACCGGGGTGAACCAGTGAACCATGACGTGGGATGAATCAATGGGGCCCTGGCGAAATTTATGGCATTCCATGGAACAGCTTGGCACAGCAAGGTGGAATTCCGGGCTGCGCTGAGGATGCCCTTGGGCTGTTTTTCGGGGAGCAGTGGGTTGTGGTTTCAACATATCTACATGATGAACACAGGAATCATGATGTCATCCGTTACACAACGGGATCCCAGTAAACCCAGTGCTGAAGTTGTTGTCTTTCAAAATTGGACTCAGACCAGAAAAGACAGGTGTGTCCATCTTCCAGACAAGACGATCAAGTGGGAGATTTGGAGAAATCACATAAATATCATATAGAATGGATGGCCGCTGTGGGTCTCAAAAAGGATTTGTTGATTAAACTGTCTTAAACTTAGTGACTTGGTTGCTCCTCAACATACCCCGAAGTCGTTTATGGAAGATCTGCAGGCTTGGGAGGGCCATCTTTGGAACACCAATAAACCCCAGTGCACACATGTGCATGTTAGCAGTGTCCCAACTTAATCGGTTTCGAATGATTTAGAAATTGCTGGCAGTGATCGAAGCAACCCCAAGAACCACACCCATGCAGTTTGTGTTTATGTTCTCCCCATCTCTTGTTGGTCCCGTGAATATGCCGTTGCTTATGGGTGAACTTTTTGCTTGTCAGTCACCTCAAGCATACAACAGCCTCAATTTTGTTTATCAAACTCCATATGTTTTCCAGCAACCGCCCTTAGTCGCGCAGTCACCGTCAGGAGGCTCAACCCAGGAATCACTGCAACTTGGCACCCATGTTACACCAACGTTGGTTGAATCCATGTCACATCACATTCTACTTCATCTCACTTTTTGTACCATCCTTTGCTAGGATGCGACCATATGTCCACCACACATCCATGTTTGAATGCTTATATACTATTAGGCTTCAATACCATATATTCAAATGTTTATACACCATTATATAAAATTTAATGTTTATGTACCATTATATTCCTATGATATTTTTCTGCTGGTGAATTTTCACCAGGGCCAATTTACACTGAGGAAGAGACCAGTGGCCAAATCTTCCGTGCTGCTGATGCCGGGACTCCAAAAGATGGTCAAAGTGTCAAACCTCAGCTGAGAACCATGGGTCACCTCGGTATACCTGGGCTTACCTCGGCTCACATCGAATACATCGACAATCATGTAATATAGATTAATATAGTATGTAACAGTATGTAAATCACAGCTGGGTGATGACCATGGTTCTTAGCCAGTTTCAAAGTCCCACTCCATCCAACAAACATGGGGTTTGTATTAAGAAAACCATGGGGAAACTCAGCGTCAAAGAACGATCAGCAAACGGTTAGATACCCAGCACCATTGCTTACAGCAGCCCAGTTGAACCTCGATGGTGCGATCGACGCGGATGAGTTTGCAGATGCCTGGACGAAGGGCGTGGATTTGGATTTCTCCAAAACAGGCAATTTGGAGACAGGGGAAACAAAGATCAAACAGAGATGATGTGAACACCAAAAAAGGTGGGATCCAAACTAATGGGGATGTGAAGCCTTAAATGTGAAGCCTCAAATTTCAGTATGGAACTCCAGGAACGGCGTTTGGAATAGCAACTTAATTTGGAACTTGTTGTCCTGGGAGTTCCCTTCTCAATCCTCCAGAAGAGCATGGCAGTGGGTTTTTCTCGTTCCCAAGGACTTTCTCAAGGCAGGTGCCATCGCGGGAGAACCTTTACAGAAGCCCCTTGGATGACACCGAGGGATTTTCACTTCAGGATAGAGATCCGGATCTATTCCGCATCACCTAAAGCGAACATGGCAGCATGGTTGATCGGATTGTACCTTGGTTTGGATACAGATGGATACCAATACAGTATATATTCTTCGATCCCTCCCCAAAAAGTATATGTTCAACCGACCAGTTTGATTTGAATACCACCGCTGCAGATGTAGGAAGAATACATAACAAAACTCAACAATGCTTCAGATATGCAGACAAAGATGAGGCAGATACGCTCCAGATTTGGGATGATCACGCTACGAGTCAAACCTCTCAACTGAAACTTGAAGCCGAAGATTGAGGTGCCAGTTTGGTGATTTTACAACCGCATGTGGTTCGATCATTCCTCCAGTTGCATATCATTTTTCTGGTCTAGAAAGACTCAACGACTTGGGAGATCAACCGAATCTTTCAACAGAATCCTCAGTTTCTTGTTCCTGTGAGTATTGCGCCAAAACGAACATCTCCGGCATCACCTGACGATTTCTGAGCCCGCCGGGGATGTGGTACATTTCCCCTCGGAGATGGAGTGTTTGCAATTGAGATGCCGTGAAAAAAGCTGGCTGAATCGAAATGTCAAAAAATCTATCTAGATTTTGCAAGCGCCCCAATGGGTAGACAATTCTTGGAGACCACTGAGATTTGGCAGTTTAATTTTTTTCGAGATATTTTAGAGATAAATCATGGAACATCATGGAATATCATCTGAAGCATCGACTTAGGGTACACTTTCCATTTTACCATATTTTACCCCTCTCATCACTCATCTCCCAGGTTGAAGTTGCGTGGCGGAGAATCGGCACATCAGAAGAGCTCCGAAGCTTTGCTTCTGCATCTTGGTGAAAACTGGGGATTTGAACCACCGAGGTCAAGTCATCAGGGGGGACCACAAATTGCTGTTTGGATCCAGTTTTTGATCCCAGAAAAAAGGAGAACATGCTTGGAATTCACAAAGTGTGGATCAAAGACGTGAATATGCCGGAATCATGGCCATCACACTGGCAAAAGAATCGTCTACCATTCTATGGGTTGACACGGCCAGAAAATGGTCGACAGTTTGCAGAACTGTAAACCTTTCGCGATGGCCAATCGAACATACCGTGAAAGACATGTTGTGTCCGTTCAACTGTAGGTTGAACTGGCTGAACTGGTTGAACAGAACTAGGAACCATCCTTGATACCACAATTACCACAATTCTAACCATTTTTTTTTTGAGAATCCCAGGGTCCCAGTGACGTCCTGATTTGGGGTTTCCCAGGTGGGCCATGCATGGCAACATGGATGCAGATGGACGGGAAGAGCGGGTCCTTCCCTTGGTGGAACTGCGAGATCTTCACCGTTGAGGCCACGGTCGATGTTTCGGATGTTGATGGATGTTGATTGCAGATGGTTCAAGGATTCAAGGACTAGAACCATAACTATGATATACTATGATAATTATTATTATATTTAAGGGCTGCCGCCCCTGCCGCCGACCCCGGAAGAAGTGGCAAGGAAGCAAAGCTGGCAGAAAAACGCTTCGGTGCGTTGCACCTTGAGGTTCTCGACCTTTTTGCTATGTACATCCTTGTGAAATATATTTGATAGGTTTGAATTTTCATGTGTAAATGGGTTTTTCATTTGAGTGCATGTTAATACTCTGATCTTATGGTTTTATGGGTTCATGGATCTAAGTAACAGTATAATAGTTAGATATATATATATATACACAATATTTTTGGCCCTATTATTATACAGCTAATGTTGCGCCGCACAGGTGCATGGTTGCGCCGCACAGGTGCATGATATTTTATGAAAGTATACGAGGGCGTTGTTTTTTTTGATCCCCCACCTTGTTTGTTTGACTTCCCCCGTGTTTTTTTGACCCCTCATGAACGAAATCTGAAATGAAACTCTAAAGAAACTCTCAAGAAACCCACATGAATGTTTGAAAACCTTGACAAGATTTTCTGATAAGAAATTCACATAACACTCGAAATTAAACGCGAAAGGAAATCGGAAAGAATCCCTAAATGAAACCCTACATGAAACCCGACAGAAACGCAAAAGAAACTCGAAATAAAACCCTTAAGAGATGTAAATATCAAGAGAATTCCTACATGAAATTGAAATCCTACTTTTTTTGTTTTATTCTTTCCTGTTTGTATCTTAAATGAAAGTTTAAACACCGTAGGTGAAACTGTGAAACCGAAAGAAACCCGAATGAATTGCTGCCAGAAACCCCTACATGAAACACAAAATGAACCCTAAAGAAATCATAAATTGACCTAAAGAAACTATAAATGAAAGCCTGCAATTCAATGCAATGCAATGCACTGCAATGCAATGCAAGGCAATGCAATGCAATGCAAGGTAATGCAATGCAATGTACTGCAATGCAATGCAATGTAATGGAATGCAATGTAATGCAATGCAATGCAATGTAGTGCAATGCAATGTACTGCACTGCAATGCAATGTAATGCAATGCAATGAAATGCAATGCAATGCAATGTAATGCCATGCAATGTACTGCAATGCAATGCAATGTAAGGCAATGTAATGCAATGCAATGCAATGTAATGCAATGCAATGTACTGCAATGCAATGTAATGGAATGCAATGTAATGCAATTGAATGCAATGTAATGCAATGTAATGCCAAGCAATGTAATGCAATGCAATGCATTGCAATGAAAAGCAATGAAATGTAATGCAATGCAATGCAATGCAGTGAAATGTAATGCAATGCCATGTAATGCAATGTAATGCCATGCAATGTAATGCCATGCAATGTAATGCAATGCAATGCCCTGCATTGCAATGAAGAGCAACGAAAGGTAATGCAAAGCAATGCAATGAAGTGTAATGCAACGCAATGTAAGGCAATGTAATGTTATGCAATGCAATGTAATGCAATGCAATGCATTGCAATGTAACGCAATGAAATGTATCGCACCTTGAAGCGCAGCAATCTTGTTATCTAGACTTGGAACAGCAGAGGACGCAGCAAAAGTACTTGGGCAGAGTTGGGTGCCCACTTGGGATGGCTGGAAAGAATTGCAAACAAGCACGACAGAGGCTCACTGCGTTGCAGTTGCGGACCGTCTGTGTGACATCGCGCAGGTAAATGCTCCTGGCCGAAGCATGACTGATACCCAAGCTTTAAAGGCTTTGGCAGCTGAAGGGTTCAGGTGGCAGCAGGCGCTGTCACACGGCGTCAACAATTGCCTAATCGATTCCTTGATGCTGTGCTTAGCGTATGAAGGTCTTTTGCCAAGCAACTTGGGCGCAGATGTTGCAGCAAGACGACGCAGTGCAGTTGCATGCAGAAAGCATTTGGTTCAAGCGGTTGGGCAAGCAGTACTTCCAAGCGCGAAGGGATTCTTTCCATATTTAGATGCGCACCGCGATGGCCCGCACATTGTGACATTTCTGTTGCAACGATTTCGGGCTGTTGCGCGCGCTAACATGATAATTCGTGTGCACGACCGATTTGGTGAGTGCACGGCAGACCCAGATCGGAACAAGATTCTTGTCCATCTTGGGTTCGAGCACCCCGGGCATCATGCCTTACAGCTGCATATATACAATCACACCTCTGTGCAAGGCAGGGGATATCATTTTGATAGTCTGTTGCGCCAAACCACTGTGCGTGAAACTGAACCAACCGTAGAGACGGACAGCACGAGGACAAGCGCCAACATAGACAGAACAGAAAAAGACGTAGATCGAAGAGCAGAAGCAGTATTTGCCAAGCTGGCATGGCGCCTTTGCGGTTCTAGTTTTGATATCCCCTGGCTTGAAGCATTGCTATTGAATTTGCTTTTTCATGGATACCTTTCTATGGGACCTTCTGTGATGGCATCGCAGAAAGCACGACATCAACTATGCAGATCATGCCAAAGACATCTAAAATTGGAGCCAAAGCCGGACGAGGCAGAAGCACAGACTTTCGACTTGCAAAGCCACCTTGCGGCCGCAATATTTTTTCTTCTGGGCACCAGCTACAAGAGTGTGAATGCTGATGTATATGTTCATGATGCAAGTACAACTGACTTGAATGTACCACGAGACAGTTACAGGATTGGTCCACCCGACAGTTTGCTAGTGCCAATTTTCCGACTCTACTGTTTTCAAAATGGTCAGTATGCCGCGTTATTGCCTCTGCTGGTGTCTGCTGCTGCCTGCTGCTGCCTGCTGCTACCTGCTGCTGCCTGCTGCTGCCTGCCTGCTGCTCCCTGCTGCTGCCTGCTGCTGGTGGCTGCTGCTGCTGCTGTGGTGTTGCTGCTGCAATCAAACAGCCTCCAAAGCAAGAAACAAACAGCCAGACACCCTTTTCGAAACACATCCGAAACAGCAAAACGCCACCTAATTTCGTGCCTAAAACGTAGCAAAGGAATCCCAAAAAAGGGCCTAACGTCACTTCTGAAACCCTACTATAAAATTGCAACTTTGCCGCTGCCTGCCGCTGCCTGCTGCTGCTTGCTGCTGCCTGCTGGTGCCTCTGCTGGTGTCTGCTGGTGTCTGCTGCTGCCTGCTGCTGCCTCTGCTGGTGTCTGCTGCTGCCTGCAGCTGCCTGCTGCTGCCTGCAGCTGCCTGCGGCTGCCTGCGGCTGCCTGCCTGCTGCTCCCTGCTGCTGCCTGCTGCTGGTGCTGCTGCTGGTGGCTGCTGCTGCTGCTACTGTGGTGCTGCTGTGGTGCTGCTGTGGTGCTGCTGCAATCAAACAGCCTCCAAAGCAAGAAACAAACAGCCAGACACCCTTTTCGAAACACATCCGAAACAGCAAAACACCACCTAATTTCGTACCCAAAACGTAGCAAAGGAACCCCAAAAAAGGGCCTAACGTCACTTCTGAAACCCTACTTAAAATTGCAACTTTGCCGCTGCCTGCCGCTGCCTGCCGCTGCCTGCTGCTGCCTGCTGCTGCCTCTGCTGGTGTCTGCTGCTGCCTGCTGCTGCCTGCTGCTACCTGCTGCTGCCTGCTGCTGCTGCTGCCTGCCTGCTGCCCTGCTGCTGCCTGCTGCTGGTGCTGCTGGTGGCTGCTGCTGCTGCTGTGGTGCTGCTGCAATCAAACAGCCTCCAAAGCAAGAAACAAACAGCCAGACACCCTTTTCGAAACACATCCGAAACAGCAAAACACCACCTAATTTCGTGCCCAAAACGTAGCAAAGGAACCCCAAAAAAGGGCTTAACGTCACTTCTGAAACCCACTATAAAATTGCAACTTTGCCGCTGCCTGCCGCTGCCTGCTGCTGCTTGCTGCTGCCTGCTGCTGCCTGCTGCTGCCTCTGCTGGTGTCTGCTGTGCCGCTGCCTGCTGCTGCCTCTGCTGGTGTCTGCTGCTGCCTGCTGCTGCCTGCTGCTGCCTGCAGCTGCCTGCGGCTGCCTGCGGCTGCCTGCCTGCTGCTCCCTGCTGCTGCCTGCTGCTGGTGCTGCTGCTGGCTGCTGCTGGCTGCTGCTGCTGCTGCTGCTGCTGTGGTGCTGCTGTGGTGCTGCTGTGGTGCTGCTGCAATCAAACAGCCCTCAAAACGTAGCAAAGGAACCCCAAAAAAGGGCGTCACTTCTGAAACCCTACTTAAAATTGCAACTTTGCCGCTGCCTGCCGCTGCCTGCTGCTGCCTCTGCTGGTGTCTGCTGCTGCCTGCTGCTGCCTGCCTGCTGCTCCTTGCTGCTGCCTGCTGCTGGTGCTGCTGCTGGTGGCTGCTGCTGCTGGTGGCTGCTGCTGCTGCTGTGGTGCTGCTGCAATCAAACAGCCTCCAAAGCAAGAAACAAACAGCCAGACACCCTTTTCGAAACACATCCGAAACAGCAAAACACCATCTAATTTCGTGCCCAAAACGTAGCAAAGGAACCCCAAAAAAGGGCCTAACGTCACTTCTGAAACCCTACTATATAAAATTGTAACTTTGCCGCTGCCTGCCGCTGCCTGCCGCTGCCTGCTGCTGCTTGCTGCTGCCTGCTGCTGCCTCTGCTGGTGTCTGCTGTGCCGCTGCCTGCTGCTGCCTCTGCTGGTGTCTGCTGCTGCCTGCTGCTGCCTGCTGCTGCCTGCAGCTGCCTCCGGCTGCCTGCGGCTGCCTGCTGCTACCTGCTGCTGTCTGCTGCTGCCTGCCTGCTGCTCCTTGCTGCTGCCTGCTGCTGGTGCTGCTGATGGTGGCTGCTGCTGCTGCTGTGGTGCTGCTGCAATCAAACAGCCTCCAAAGCAAGAAACAAACAGCCAGACCCCCTTTTCGAAACACATCCGAAACAGCAAACACCACCTAATTTCGTGCCCAAAACGTAGCAAAGGAACCCCAAAAAAGGGCCTAACGTCACTTCTGAAACCCTACTATAAAATTGCAACTTTGCCGCTGCCTGCCGCTGCCTGCC